CGGGGCTGGGAGCTGGCAGCCTCAGCACCGACAGGGCGCCTGGGGCAGCTCCTCTCCCGATCGGTGTGAAACACCCCGCGGCACTCACGGGACGCGGCAGGATGAAGCTCACCCGCCAAGCCTGGAGACCAGATGCAGTTGGTGAGCGAACCTGGTGGGAAGAGGTGGTCGTGTGCATGACCTCCCGTGAGACCCTACGGTCACACACACACAAACACCCAGGCATTTCGAGAGGTCCCTTCAGGCATTTCTGCCCAGCCCAGCGGGTGCTGGTGCCCACGCACCCAGTGCAGCACCCAGAGGCACTGCGGCCCTTCCCACTCCACCCCAACTCACCCAGGCACAGCTCCGGGCTCGGGGCGGGTTACAGCCCTCACCTGAGGGGGGACTGCAAGGACCAGTGGTCACCTGAGGGGACTACAATGACCAGTGTTAAATGTAGGGTCTGTGAGGACCTAATGGTCACCTGAGGTGGAACTGTGAAGTCCTACAGTCACCCAAGGGGGTGGACCGGTGGACCGGTGAGGACCGGTGGTCACCTGAGGGGACCAAAGGTAACCTGGAGGGTGACTTTGAGGACCAACACTCACCTTAGGGGACAGTGAGGACCAGTGGTCACCTGAGGGGTGGGTCACCAGTGGTCCGGGTGGGTGAACAGCCCCCTGCCCAGTTTGGCAATTCACTGACCAAAGGAAGCGACAATATCAAGGAGGAAGAAGTTGTGACCTCTGCTACAGCGAGTAAGAAAGTTCAAAAAAACGACAAAAACATGAGGACAAGTACATTCAACAGAGATGAGGTAGAGCTAAAGCAGAACCTCAGGTCCACTGCAACAATGGGAGACATCGGGAGAGATCTCAGAGGGGGTTGAACACATCAGGAGCACAAGCCAGGTGCCTGCACCTGCCCCATCAGCCACAAGTGATTTCACGTGCACCTGCACAAACCACAGGCCTGCTAAGGGCCCATCAGCTGCTCAGCAAGAGGCGACCAACAGTTGCCTTAGGGGGAACCGTGAGGACTAATGGTCACCTCATAGGTCTGTGGGGACAAACATCCCCCGACCGCTTCCCTCACTGGCCGCCCCACAGCTGTACTTTACCATCCCACCAGCCAAACACAATCTCCTCTGACCCTGGCACTGGTGGCCTTACCAGAAGGGATGTGGACATGGTGGTGGCATGGCCAGACATCCCCTGGGTGATGCCGAGATGAGCTACTAGGGAAGTTCATGCCATTTCTGGGCCTGCCTGGCCACCGCAGTGGCCCTACTTCTCTGTGGGACAGCTCCATGGAAGGGAAGGGGTTCAGTGCCCTGGTCTCCCCATGATTGACTCAGCGTCATGGGGTGCTGGTGCTCAGCCCACAGCAGCCTGGGCCTTCCCCGTGTCCACGCCACAGCTGGGGACACCCACGGTCGAGACACGGAGCTGGGACACCTGGTCCCAGCTGGGCTTGGAGGGTTCGCATGGTGCCCTGCCATGCTGTGCTTCGCCCCCAGTGCGGACACCCCCCGCGAAGGGGAAGGGAAACTGCAGGGTGGGGGGAGGCGGCGGGGGACAGCCGGGGAGAGGGACCGGGCAGGGGACGCTGTGGGGGTGAGGTGGCTCTGTCACCCCGTTGTCCCTCCAGCACTGGGCACTGGAGACAGCGGTGACAGAGCAGGGTGATGGCCCCCACCTTTCCCATTCCCATGGCCAGCAGGCTTTTGGGGAGGGGGACGGGGCTGCCCCCAAGGGCGAAGGGAAGGAAAGGGGAGCACCAGGCTGCAGCCCAGCCCCGGGCCCTCTCCTGGGGGTGCTGGTGGGGGAGTCGGAGCTCCCCAGCAGTCTTCCCACAGCCATAGGCCAGGAGGGAACTGCTCGTCACCTCCTCCCCGGGGACCCATCGCCGGGCTGAGGCAGGCGGTGCACGAGGAGCCTGAGCTGGAGGTGCCGGCGGGGCCCCAAAGCAGCTCTTCTCCAGTCAGGGCTGAATCCCGAAAGCCGTCATCACCTCCGCTGGAGATGAGGCATCCCACAGGAATGGGGATGGGGGCAAGGTACCACCGGTGGGGAAGGCCCTCAAGCACTCGTTTTCTCCTAGCGCCCTTTCCTGGGCCTCCCGTTCCCTGCCCTCTCCTCCTGGCTGGGTTCTCCCCAGCCTGCTGTGGCATTTCATGCTCAAGACCCTGTTCCAGCTTTGCTTCCTCCCACAGGTCCCCAGCTGGGGGCTGGGGACCTCCGGGGACCTCCCCAACACGCCCACACCAGTCCCATTGGCGAGGAGCCACCACCGTGACTGCTGGGCTGGGCTGAAGCGTGGGACGCGACGGGTGCTTCCTCCTCCCGTAGTCACCGTCGCTGCTGCTGCGGCCTTGCCATGTGCACCATGCAGCCCCCTCGCCTCCTCCTCTTCCTCTCTCTCCTCCTCCCTGGCATGTGGGCAGACCCAGAGGGTAAGTGGGAGCTCTGGCTCACCTCAACTGCTCTCACCGCGCCGTCAGAGGACCTCACAGATTCCTCAGGGGAGGCATGGCCAGGCCACCATCCCCTTCATGGAGGGATGACCCCAGCATCAAAGGACCACGCAGCACCCCAAGCTGCCCTGTCCTTGCCCACCCTCTCTGTTCCTCCCTCCAGCCCAGGGCTCCATGCCCCACCAGCTCCAGCACAGGAGCTCGGGCACCTAAAGGGAAGCGGGGTCAGGGGTTCCTGCCAGGCCTGGGGTCTTGGGGTTCCCCCAAAGGTCCCTTTCTCCTGCAGGGAGCCTGTGGGCGCTGGGGGGGGGCTCCGCTCCGCGTGGTGCTGGGGCCACTTCCAGCAGCCCCTTGTTCGTTGGGGAGCTGCACCTGCGCGAGGGTGTTCCGGGCATCGCCATCGCTCAGAGCGTTTCACCGCAACCCCGTGAGACCTCACGTTTCCGGGGGAAGGCAGGGGCAGCAGCAGACATCGGAATGCAAGATTGATCTCTAGGCTGGGCTACCCTCCTGCCCCTGTCAGGGTTTGGTCTTCCTGAGCTTCCAATGCCCGGGAACCCCCAAGCCCTTTCCCCTCCTCCATCCTCCACATCTGCACTGTGCGCAGGTCTCTGGCAGATCCAGGTCCTGGCACGGGTGCTTTTTCTGGGGGAAGTATCTCCCCAAACAAGCGCTGAAGTACCCCCCACCATCTGCTCCACAGAGCCAGACGGCAGGCGGTGGGCGGGGGGGGGCAGGAAGGGGAGAGTGCCTGAAACCCTGTATGGGAGCAAAATACCTCGCTGAAAGTAAAACAGAGAAGGAAAAAGAACAGTGGGGACAGAGGAAGTTCAGACAGGAAAGCAACCCTGAGTGGGTGAGGAGGTGGAAGCCCAGCGATGACATGGCTGGGGGGGGTGCCCAGGCAGGGCTGGGTGCAGGCTGCTGGGGCTCCCCGTGGTGTGGGGTGAAAGGCATAGAGTCATTGAATCACAGAATGGTTTGGGTTGGCAGGGAACTTTAAAGGCCACTTAGTCCAACCCCCCCGAAAGGACCAGGGAACTC